AACCCCTTGAATGATTCTTAGGCCATTCATGTGTTGCTTGTGAAAGGAGAGTAGAATTGGTGAATCTAAACCCCTTCCCAACCTGTGCTAGATGGATAAAATCCTAGTTAGCTACTCCAAGAAAATATACATTAAGCACATAATAAACTGGAGATTAATAACTTGATAATGAAAGCAAGGAAATCAATTAACTATAAAATCATCCATAACATTGAATATTCATGACTAGGGCTTCATCCTAAGCCCTAACTAAATGGATTAGTTAAACATAACTATGAATACAGAAAATAAGAAATACATAGATAGGATAAAGAAAAGAGAAGAACTAGCTGGCAGCAATGTAGTTCCCAGGACAGCTCCAAGCTCTCTTCTCTCTTTGTGGTGAATCTGAATGTGTATGAGAGTAATGGATGAAGTGAACGTGTGTGTCTGACTCCCTATTGAATGAGTTTGCAGCTCTCTATTTATAGAGTGCAATTTCGTCCTCCCCTTTGGCTGGTGAAGCACACCTCTCGTAGCTGCTCCCAACTGCTCCAGCTGCCCATACTTGCCAACTGCTCTAGCTAACATACTTGCCAACTGCTCCAGCTGCTAAATACATGCTTTGGTATGGTTTCTTTATGAAAAGCTTGACTTTGTTCATCTTTCTGAGTTCCTGAGCTGATTTGACTCCCATGTGTGGCTGTCCATATGTAGCACATGGCTCTAGGGATGTAGCCACATTAAATGTGATGGCAGCCAACATGACATTTCTGTGAACTTGGTTCAGTCTTTGATGTGCTGAGGGCTCCAGATTTATCCAATTGGGCTGAAATTTGGATATGTTATAATAGATACCCATTGGAACAACTTCTATCAAGGATGTCTCCTCATCTAACCTATGTAAGTTGCTGAAATGAGGCATGCAAGATGACCTACGAAACTGAACTGACAAGGAGTGTGGCCCAAATTGGGTTTGTCTTTAAGCTCATATTCCTCTTATCCCAATCAGCCCTTAACAAGCATGGATTGCATCAAATGTGATCTCTTGCTGTCTTAACCTACAAAACAAACAAAAAGAGGTAAGTGACTTAAAATTAAGAGAAACTAAGCAAAGTCACTAAGTAAAGAAAGCATGCGAATGTATGAAATTATGAACTTATCATGCATGTTCGTAGTTTGTACTTGTAATTTTTTGTTTGTGGGAGTTAAAAGATTATAGGTTGTAGTTGTAGTTCTATGTGTTGAGATGTGTTGTGGTCTATGCCTGACTTTTGTAAGCTTGCGACTTTTAGGTCGGAATTTCTTTGGCACTATGTGTGGAGGTACACTTGTGCATATGATGTTGTTGTTGGAGTCCTCTATATTTGGATTAACTATTTGTAGTTACTGCACTTCTGTACTTGTAATAATCTTATATGATTATCTATATTTATATTGGCTCTTGTGGCTGACGACATTTGTGCTTAATTATAAAAGCAATCTATCATCTTTATTTCAATATTAAAAATAAAGGTTCTAATGGCAAATGCTACTCTTGATACAACGACTTTCTTTTTGTGGTTGTAGCACTCCAAACAAAAGAATAACGAAAGTAGAGTATATATGAACTCTCCAAACAATAAGATGGAAACATATTTTACGTTCAAATTTTTGCATAAATAATATAAAGGAAAAATTCATCAAATCTACAAAATGATTTGTTGTATTGTGTTTTCTCAAAGTGAGAAAGGTGAAGGAAGTATTGTGTTTTCTCAAAAACAAGGTTTATCAAAAATTCATTTGATAGGGAATGAAAGACTTTAAACAAAATTCTAGAGTCTGAAGACAAGACTTTTCAAAGGATCTTGCGGCTCAAAACATTGATGTGCAACACAAGACACCATACATGAAAATAAAGAGATAAAGGTAGATAAAAACTCACCCATCGAGCGCAACTTGAGTCCAAGTATTCCACCAAGTGATGGTGGTAGAATCCACTTTCCACGTCTTCTCCAAGTCACAAACTAGTGACCTCCAAAGACTACACACCAAGTTGTCTCTTTGGAAGTGTTAAGGCCTAAAAAAGTCATGAGAAGCCCAAAAGCATTTAAGGCCCAATATAACATATAATGCTGGTCATGCGTTAATCCAAGCTGTACTTTGGGAATTAATTCATTAAATAAATATAGAAATAGTTTGCATGCCATGCCAAATAATACATTTTTCATATGTCAATCACCTACCATGGTTTACGGGGTTTGCATGAGGAATTGTGGTGTGAAAGGTTACAAAGGTCCATAAGGCCCACAGAAGCTTTTGGATAATAGAGACTTTGGGCTAGCTACTTGGGAGCACCAAAGTCCAAGCCCATTACTTAGAGTTCTCCAATGTGGGTGAGCAAATGAGATATTTTTCAAGCACTTCTTTTTATCCATAGGAAATAGTCATTTTCCAATGCCTAACTTTACCCCCTGGAAATAAGAATGTCCCAATACTCTCTTTTACCCGCTAGAAACAAGCCACTTCCAACACTTCCTTTTACCTATACGAAATAGTCATTTTCCAATGCCTAGCTTTACTTGCTGCTGGAATAAGAATGTCCCAATGCCTCCTTTTACCTATTCGAAATAGACTAGCTCCAACACTTCCTTTTACCCATTGGAAACCAAAGAGACACTTCACCTTCTATAAATTGGGAGGCATTGCTGAGCCAAGACCAACCCCTCTTAGTTGATGCAAGCTTCTCAACAATCATGAAAACTCACATTTCCTTCGTTGCTACAAGAATTCCAGTAACCTTCACAGTCATTCCTAAGCCATCAACCTTCATCGTTGGGCTGCTGGAAGCATCCTAGTAACCATTGACCAACATCTCTTGGTTGCTCAAGCATATCAGCAACTATCAGACCACTTTCCTTCCTCCCTTTGGTTGCTGCAAGCATTCCAGCTCCATCCCAGCCATTCCTTAGCCGTCACAACCATGTCTTCTACTTTCTCACCCTTGAAATCTATCATCTTCTCCATAAAGCCTCACCAAGCATAACTCCAAGCTT